TGTTATGGTCAAGACCGCTAGCTAATTACTATGTTGTGTTTTTTTTTCTCTTATCTTTTTTCTAAGTTTTTATATCTTTGCCCTTACTTTGTTGTTGCGTTGGCTAATTTGACTTTTATGTTTGACTTTGATCTGGTATTTCCCCACTTCCCGTCATTTGGGTCATTCAGTGTATGTACGTATGTACGTTTGCATTCATAAATTTGCTTGTTTTATTTGTTTGCTAGTAAATATGAATATCCCTCTATCTATGAAAGTATGTATGTATGCGTATAAGTACGAAGGTCTGGTGGTGATGTGCAGTCGAATGTATATGTACATAAATGCAGTTATAGTTGCGATCGAATAGCATTTACGGTAATTGCCTTGATGCGGTTATAAGTAACTGAAGCAAGGCGGCCAAACTCGCTTGCATTTTGTTGATTTATTATAAGTATTTGATATTTTACGAGTAAATTTATTGAGCGATCATTTGTTATTGTTGCAGCGCTTATTCGCGATAATCAAATAAGTATTCATTATTTACCTCTAATGCATTTTGAAGGAGATACATACATACGTATGTACATCTGTATGCAAATAAGTATAGAGATTTTTGCAGAGAAATACAATTTATTTTTAGATTTTTAAATCCAAAATTTATATTAGAGATAACTCCCTAAACATTTAAAAAAAACTTAATTTTTCATTTCTTTATTTTAAGTAAGAAATACTGACTATTCCTTGACTTTTATTTTTTTAAGTTTGCATGATATTTTTTTGAGCATAAGAAAATAACCGGCAATATTTGCTTTTTAGTTTTGGGCTTTGATAAAACCGAATCTTTCGGGATTCTTTGTGTTTGACTTTTCGGAACTTTTTTTAAACTTTTCGGTAGTTTTTTTTTTTTTTTTTTTTATATGGATTCTTATTTAATTTTATGCTTAACTCATTCTCCTAAAAAAAACATATTGGCCAAATACTTGATAGGGTCACAGAACAGTTTGTTTTTTTAGTGGACAGCAGTGTTGATATGTGGAAAAAATCGCTTGTTTCTAGTCGTTCGCAGCCTTGGCCAGTTCCTCTTACAAATTTGTATTTATTTTTTTAATAAAATACATACTATGTAACAAAAAATGGAATTTGTCAAAGAAAGAAAAAACGAAAAAAAGTTCTTATATTAAAAACGTTTTCTTATAAAAAAATACTTTCCAAAATGAAACCAGTTAAAAACTAGTTGCAAAGTAATGCACTGGACGACACCGCCAATGACATCGCCGTGTAAAATCGGACAGTTTAAAGCATTGCTTGAGTATTGAGCCAGAAGTAGTACTGCCAGCAAAAGGTCTAGTTCTACGCTAGTTCTGGGCTAGTCAGAATTTCTGCAGGGTCGCTACTCACACGTCTGACACACTTATGTTGGCGATGTTTTAGCATTTGCGTAGCCGGCATTGTTATAAATCAAACTTTCCAAATTTATTCGGAATTTACAAAAAAAAAAAACTATTCACATTGTTATCTAAATTTTGAGCTTTTTAATCAGAATTTTTATTACATTTTTGGGTACGCTGCTATCAGACTTATAACATTTTATTAAAATAAGTGGAAGTTTTGAGCGGCTGAAAAATTCCATTGATTTTTAATATGTAGTTCTTTTTTGCTGACGGCTTTTGGGTTTTTTTTTCATATACTACACACATTTGAAATATGTAGCCAGTCTTATTAATCCATTAAAAAATATTTCGCTAATGACGCAGCATTGAACTCTATTTTGCAACTATAAGAAATAGCCAAGTGCCAGCATCTGTTGGCTGCTAAATTTCAATGTCAGCTGTGAAAATACATATATTTTAGTATTGTATTCCTTTTCTGCTGCATTTGCTAAGTTTTTATTTTCTTACATTAAAATTACTGTGTGCACTTAAATATCGCGCGGAACAGGTCACGTTCTTGCCATTTGTGTGCGCATGTGCTTTTATTTAATTTAAATTAACTTAATAAAAACTTTTTTAAGTGCATATATCCAATACTTTGCATACTAAATATTATCAACCGATCTAATTGGATGTCTACATATGAAAACATACATACATATATACGTATATGTGCAGCACATACAAATATCAGTTCGTATAATCGACGGACTGCTGGAGTTGAAATTTGAGTTTGAGTTTGAGTTTGAGTTGGAAATGTGACAGAACGCCAAAGCGAAACGCCAACGCTTTGTCATACAAATGCATAAGCAGCCGATGGAATTGGGTCAATTCGTGTTTGAATGCGCAAAAATTCTTGCAAACAAACTCGTCTAACCAAATACAATAAATTGCGAGAACCCATTTATGATAAGTAAATGCACCAGTGTCTCTTTTATCTTTATGACAAGCATTACAAATTGACGACGCTTACATATCCGCACATTTGTATGTATTAAAGTCACAAAGTTGACATGTGCGCGATTAGGGAATTACGCTTATGATTGAAAGCCTTAATGCAGTGGACGGACACGGGTGCGGCGCCCATGTGTAAGCCAAATACTAGTTAAATTAATATAATTTTTCTTTTAGTATGCCATTTAAATAGCAATCAAATATGTAAATACACTACAATTTATGATTTATAACCATGTCGCTATGCTATTTCACTCTATTGCAGACCATCGCCAAGGACTACTGGTGCGCACGCCCAGACAATGCACCCGATATGGATGTGTCACTTTGGAAAAGTCTCAGCCAGCCAGCCGGTCCGTGTTCAATACTAAATCTTAATTACTCTCAGCTACCCGAGCTTCCTACATCCGACGTGCCGGCGCAACTAATTAGCTGCAAAAGCTTTGAATTCTCCAGCGAGGATGGCAGCGCACGTTCGGCTATTGAGGAATTCGGCTTGGTTTGCGGCCGCCAGCAGCTGGTTAGCGTTGTCGAAATGTGCTTCTTGGCTGGTGCGGCAGTGGGGAGCGTTTCGAGCGGATGGATTTCAGATCGTTTCGGACGCAAACACACTCTAATGATATTTGCGTTGGTGCAAATTGTTGGAGGTAAGTTGGGGGAATCAATTTGAACTGGAAAAACAAAATTGCATATTTATTTAGCGGTCATAGTTAGCATAATGGAGTAGAAAATATGTATAGTTAGAGCTACTACATAGCAAGAAAGCTAAAGCATAGCCAGTAGAGGCCACTTGATGTGAGATGATTTGGACCAAGGTGGTTGGTCTGATGGGTGTATATTCTCTGCCGGATAAGAGGTCATTAGGAGTGTCTGCAGGCTAGCTCAGGCTAGACGTAAATCAGTTGTCTTAGAAATAGCGCACTAGACAGAGGCCCAATGTAATGCTGGTGGAATAATTTATCGTCCCAAATTTCCTACAGCAAACTAAAATAGACTCGAGAAAATCTAGGTTAAGGTAGGTTAGCGTACTGCCTACGCAGATGGAGGCCCACTTAGACTCGACTAAGCTATCCGTTGTGATGTGCTTAAGAGGGGAGAGGGAAAATGACGCAGTGAGGCCGAAAGTTGAGGGGGAGGGTAGAAAAAAGGAGGCACCTGAGGGAAAATGGCGACAACTATGGCTTTTTTTCGAGATTATCCAACTTTTAAAACAATGTTTTTAATATCTCTTAGGGCGCTAAATCGAGTAAGTACTGCGGAATGGCGAAGGGGCTATTTCGTGGTAAACTCCAACTCATCACCTCAGTAGCTAACTCAAAAGTTCTTCCAAGGAACAACTTATCCGTCTGCCCGTTCGACTATCAAGCAGTAGCCGATAAGCACAGATTTCACATGACTACTCAGGTTGGTCAACGTCTTGCTTTTGAGCTGTTTATTTTGAAGGTGATATAAGTGATTTCCTACGCCTTGTTTTTAGATGGTGGTTCTCCTAACTGAATGTAAATCGAGCTGATTACTCTGGCAAGTAGATTCCACCCGCCATTTCTGCGCTGCAGTTGCCGAGGAGTTTTCTTTATTTATAAATGTTCGGGCCTTTTCCCGAAATACCTTACGTCTCGTGGGCCTCAGTATCAAGCATAGTCGTTCTGTGAAATGTTGATTCGTCAGCTTTATAGATGCCCACCAACTTAGCAGTCAGTGTCTGTGTAACAGTCTCCCCTCCTATCTCATTAATAGATCAGCGACATGTTCCCACAACTTAAAAGACTTGCATAGTGAAGTTCGCTAGGTATTTCTGAAAATCCTACCACACCGTACTAGTTTTGCGGTCTTGGAAATAACCACCAGCTTGGCTAGGAAAAAAGCCGAAAAAAGTAGTATACCCAGGTTCATTCATTGTGGAACCATCTGCTGTGTGTATTTACGTTGGATTTATGGATGCCTTTAAATTGTTCATAAAGCTGGCACTGGTCCATCAGCAGTAGTAAACTCACTAGACGATGTTCTCCCCCTGTCGTCCGCCCGGTGTTCCTAGAGTCCACCCGATATCCGAATCGCTCCCTCGCTTTATGAAATAAAAGTGGTAAAACCAGGAACCTTCGTTAATTACTTTTTGGCGTTGTTGTGACATAAAAAGGATCCAAGGCTGTGGGAAATGCCTCAAAAATGATGTGACTCAGAATGAAGTAAAATTAGCGGCTGAAATAATTTGTAAATTTTAAAGCATGATCTCTTATAGCAAAATAAAAGAGAGCGTGGGACCGACCGCTAATAGAAAAACAACCTTCCTAGGATCTTCATGGACATTCTTAAAAATTCCAAAGCAACGGTTTTCTCTTTGGTGTCTTTCTCCGAACTCTGCTTTACTGTACAATTCCGAGTCGGTTCAGACTGAAGTATACCTCTAAGAAGGGGCTTAAAATGGTCAGGGGATTTGGGCTTCAAAGACTAGAGAGCCACTGCTGTCTCGATTATCAAGGCATCTGTCAACAGCTTAATGTGGTCAGTAAACGACAGAGGCAAACATTCTAGCGAGGCATTATGAACGGTTCCATTTCCCGACGGGAACAGCGTAAAGCGCTATTGTGCTCCTAAATTTTTGCCGTTAATAACTTTCGTTAATTTTGATTCGCACAATTGCAATGAATTTATTTCATTACTATTTTCTGCTTTAAATATATAGATAATTTATCTTTGTTTCCATTATCAGGTACCTTACAAGCTTACTCAGTGAACCTGGCCATGTACATGACGATGCGTACTCTGACCGGCTTCGCATCGATGACAGTGACTGTGGTGAGTTTCGTACTCGTTGTGGAGCTGGTCTCGGGCAAGTGGCGTACCATCACTGGTATCTTGAATATTCTACCTGTGCCAATTTCCTATATTCTTATGGCTTGTATAGCATACTTCGTACGCGATTGGCGACATTTACAATTGGCCATTTCACTGCCATGGATAAGCCTATTGACAATTTGGTAAGTAAAATTTTAAGCAATTTTTGTTAAACACTTATGCCGAGTTTCCACAAGGTATTAAATTACGTAAGTTTTAATGATAAAGTTGAGCACTAAATAACATATCATAACTTTAATAATAATAAAATTCGGCATAAGAATTTAGAAAAAACTATTTAAATTGACTTTAAACTTAAACAACAGATTTTTCAAACGACTTCGCTTTGTAGATTGTGGAATATTGTCGATCAGTAAAGTGTTTGGGTTTTGATTAATAGAACTCTTAATGCAGATTAAAGAATATGGATTGCGATATTTAAGAATATGAAAAAGTTAGAGAACCGATTTGTACAAGAAATCTAACTCTGAAGGAGCAGATTTCAAAAACTAAAAGTCGTGTTTAAGCAAAAAGCAAAACCGGCTTCAATTTTCATATACAAATTTTAGAGTATCGCGTAATTTTCTTAAGATCCAATGATCGGATCTAAAGCAAACTGTTATGGGACCACCTCTAAGGTACCACGTTTTTTTTTATAAAAATCGTCTAACGTGGTCCGAAGTTATGCTGTAACATATGTACAAAAAAAAATATTGCGACGAATTTATAACCTCCTCCTTTTTTTAAGTCAGTTAAAAACTAAGTGTCTCAAAATTACTTCAAAATATGAAGAAGTCAGTTTTAAACCTTTCTTTCATAATGTAGTCTCATCGGATTTCGCAGCTACTTTGCAGCACATTCGCAAAAATGTTAAAAAAATTTATACAATATTTGCACCAAACGATAAAATTTTGGTAGCAAACATATTTCGGGCTGGGTTGCCACTAATAAGATAAAAAATTATTTTAATGTGTATAATAATACGCATATTAAAGCAAAAGTAAAAAATTTTATAAAAAGAGAGTTGCCACCTATTTCAAAATATTAAAAAAAGTGCTTTGAAATTAACTCCTTCGACGTATGGAACAAAAATATAAACTATTTTTTTAATATTGTTTCCATGTAATTGCCTTAAAACCAAATCAATGAAATTAATTGTTGGTAGAAAATATCCAAAATGTGTAAAATGCGTGGAATGGTTTTGAACATAAAAAAATATATATATATATTTAAGAGGGTCGCTATAAAAGAATAAACAATATAACACCTTAATGAGTAAATTATTACTGCTTTCTAGATAAAAAAAAAATAAGTTTTTAAGTGATCTATAGAGCATTCACACTATCTCAATTTCAGGCATATTTTTAATTTCACATCGAAATTATTTAATTTCTTCTTGTAAAAATAGTCACTGAGAAGAGGTTAATTTCGCTGAAATCGAGAGGTGGATTTAGAAAAAATCAATTGTAGTTCAAGTTAATTTTGAGGTGCTTTAAATGTAGTAAATTGCCTAAAAATATTTACCCGCACTAAATTAGAATTCACCCACACACGGCTGTACTAGATGCTGCTATCTACAGATATAACACAAAGTGATCGTTAAAGCCATTAATTTCGGTTGAGATTTTTTGGGTAATTAAGTAATTTAAGCGCATAATATTAATTTTGGCAAATTTTGCTAAAACTCTAGTAATTTTGTCTTGTAAAATCACATCGAAATTTATTAATTTTTTCTTAGAAAACCCGCAAGTTAAATCAGTTTAAGTTCGCTGAAATTAAGATGCAAATTAAGAAAAAAAATTACATACGTACATATGTGTAATTTAATTTAGGTGCCAAGAGCCCAGTCACGCAATTGTGTAACTGATGTTTCGATAGAAATCATCAACATGAATGTGTACGCTCTTGCCTTAAGTGTAGTAATTTGGCGAAATTAAGTAATTTACGCTACAATGTTAGCATCGTTTAGGTAAGAATTCTGAAATTCCTGTCCATTTAATGCTTGGCCAAGAACAAGTTAAGGAGAACTAATTCAGCTTATTTATTACATTTATATGCATTTACGTTTATGACATCCTAATGTAATTTGTTTATCTTGTCCGAGTTCAATATATTTCTATAATCTGCTACTTAGGCCTTTAATTTGATTATCAATAAGTCGCCTTCGCTTTGTCAAATCGACCTTAACCCTTTCTTTGTCAGCATTTTTGACCCTATTTGTATCTGCTTGAATAATTTGGAATGTGCGCTTTAAGTATTTATGCGCTGATGTTAATATGTATGTATGTATATAAACCAAACTGTCATTTGATCTCCTATTTTGTGGCACAGCGTCCCTTCTATTTGAAATTGAAATCAATTTCATTTCACCTCAAATGGGGTCATCAAATAACAATGAAGAGTGTTGCATTGCTGCTTTACTGCGCGAGCACGACATTCCTGTGGCATTTTTTACATCTGACAGATTCTTTATATTTTTTTTTGCTTTTTTAACATTCCACATTTTCCTTTTTAGCCACTCTCATAAGGATGTTTAGTTCTCAAAAAAAGGTGCTCAGATATGTTTGCCGCTATACAAATTCACTGATATATGTATGTATATATGTATGCACAACATCAACTTTTCCTTAGTCCTTTCGGTTCATTGGAACCTTCTGCGCATACCACACACATACATACATATGTACATGCAAGCCACCGGAATACACATTGACTGCTTTTGCTTTTTCAGCCGCAATCAAATCAAAATTCCACATCAATTCAATTTATTTTATCTGTTTTTTTCTTCTTGTAATGTCTCTATTGCTGTTGTTATTGCATATGGGCATTTCCAATTTCACGTGACGTGAGATTTGTATGACAAAATGTTAAAAAATAAATAAAATGAATAATTAAACATTTTAAAAGAGGGTTTTTTTTAATTTCCATAGTAATTAAAAAGCCCTTTATTTGGTAAAATAAATGACTATTGTTGGTAGCGCTGGCGTAATGTTACATAACACAGAAGTATGTTTTGATTTGGGTTAAAAAAATTTACAAGCACTGTGAATTGTTGTAAAGCTAAACATTTTCCTGTTTATGTCTGTCGATGTACATATCTGACGTGATTTTGGATGAAGTTACGTTACTAAAATTTCCATTGAACAAATTTAGTTAAAATTGTTTTTAAACTAACTTTTAAAGCGAATAAAACATGAAATTTTGTCAAATATATATTTAGTTTTGACTTCAGCGCCACCTAGCGGCTCGCTTTTTGCAAATCTATATCTTACAATCGGAGCGTAAAAATATCTACACTCTGGCAGCATCCAGCATAAAATTGTTCACAAACATGTTTTTTCTTTCTTAACCAGTATTTATGTATTATAAAAAAAGAAACCCATCCAAATAAGTTGGGTCGATAAATAAGTTCGACATATGACTATTATTTTTTTCGCGTTAGACTTTCTACTGGATGTGCCCATATGTTGGCTGTGCGCACTTTTCTTTTATGTTGGCTGTGTTTTTTGTTGTTGTAATATTCATTTAATTCTCAGAAAAGTCCAAAAAAGAAACAAAATGGTTAATTTTTCTGCTAATGGGAAGCTAGTGCTTGCGAGCTTATAGTTACAAAGTCTACTTTGAGGCATACACATCGGAGGTGGATAAACTTTTGCTAAGCAAGTATTTGGATTATTCCAGCGCAGCTTTTCCCAAAAAAAAAAAAGGTGATATATGTGGCACTAGATTGACATTACCAACTCTGGTAGATGTTTAAACTCGATTAGTGAAATACTCGAGATAATACTGGGTAAGAGAGGTTCGACGCGAAATAAATACAGAGTAGACGGACTTACCAGAACTGGAGTTCAGAGTTATTATTTTTGATTTTTAACTAACTTCCATAATTACGATTTTACTATCTTTGTTTCATTGCACTCTATTTTTGCTTTGAGCTTTTAAATATTTTTACCTATCTCTCACATCCTAACTTCTCACTCCACAGGTATTGCATGCCGGAATCACCACGCTGGCTACTCGCACAAGGTCGCCTCAATGAACTCTATTCGCTAATCGAACGCGCTGCACGGCTTAATCACCGCACACTGCCTGTCAACTATCAAAAAACATTAGAAGCTGCTGCACCACCGCCACCACCAAGCAACATCTCAGAACAAAAGCTTACCATGGAAGCGAATATTGACAAAGTTCAACAACAACAACACACACTGGCGCCCTTCACCGCCGGACCGGAAGGAGGTGCCAGTACTATTGGCGCGGTTAAACCTAGCGATGCCGAAGCTATTCCCACCACTCACGACAATCCATTGAAAGTGGTTTTTAATCGATTTTATTGGCGCACAACTTGTCTGAATTTGGTTGTTTGGTTGACTTTGATTATCGTCTATTATGGATTGACATTGCATTTGAGCAATTTGGGTGGTGATATCTACTTGAATACGGTGAGTACAGTGGCAAGGGGTGGGTAATGATGAGTGCGAACATAAGATGATAGAAATCATTA